TGTGTGTAATTCTATTAAATCTAATATATTTTATATTGGAATAATGAAAATTTAATGTACATTTAATAATTTAAAGATCACTTTTTCAAAAAATCTCCATGTGAAATAATATATTTCCAAAGCATTTTAGGTTCATATTGTGATTGAAACTTATATTTAAAAGGTATTTCCTTTACTCAATTTTATCATACTTGCTCTAGTATTAAATCATGTTTTTCTAATTGTTTTTAGGTTATATTCAGTTGGAGGTCGTGATGGAAGTTCCTGTTTGAGTTCAATGGAATATTACGATCCTCATACAAACAAGTGGAACATGTGTGCTCCAATGTGTAAGAGGAGAGGAGGTGTTGGCGTGGCCACATGTGATGGTTTTCTTTATGCAGTAGGAGGTCATGATGCTCCAGCTTCAAATCACTGTTCCAGGCTACTAGATTATGTAGAGAGGTAAGACCCTAAGGGCACTGCTGGAATGAGAAAGACAATGCAAATGACACAACTGCCTATTTCAAGTAATTGTAAAACCTGCATGATTTAGGAAAGGTAAATTCTTAGAGCTACCTTTTTCCTCCCTCTTTTTCTTTCCCTTTCTTTCTTTCTAGCCTGCCTTCCTGCCTTCCTTCTTCTTTCTCTTTCTTGTTTCTTAATTAGTATTTACTTAAAACCCTACAATGTTTCTCACAAAGTTCTGAAGTAATCTTTAGTTTGGCCTTGATTTATTTAAACAGTTGGTTAAACCAAAGCTTTAAGTAACTTATTAAAAATGCATATTTGGGTCCATCAGAGCCTGATAAAACCACTGAGACTATGGCCACGAGCTATCCTTCAGGTATGGAATTGAATCCACTCCAATGGCTTCTAGCCAAACAAAAGACAGGCATAAGAGCTGAAACTTTCCATTAGGAGTATACACCCCTTGGAGAGATCAATCATGGGAGAATAGAAGGGCTTTGTATGCACAGGGAGACAGCTCAGGTGGAAGGAGTGCATGGGGGGAAGGACAAAGGAAAGAGGTAACTATGGGGAGGAAGTGTGAGGGGAGCTGTTGCACTGTGGGGAATTTCAGTCAATGTCATGAGACAAAGTGTATGTGAGCTGCTGTATGGAAAGTGAATGTGCTCTGTAAGCTTTCAACCAAACCACAATTAAAAAAAAAAGAAAATGGAAATATGTGGGGTTGGGAGTGGAGAATGAAGGAGAAGTTACTTAAACAATTTAAAATGAAAGTGAAACAACTGGGAATGCACACCCTAGTATTTTTGTTTTGTTTTCTTTTCTTTTAATGCATATCAGAATTCTTTTTTAAAAATTGGATGTTTTATTTATTTGTTCTATATATTCATGCTGTCTCATTTGTTCTACTACCTCTTCACTGGAGACTTACGGACATCTTAATTTTATGTCATGCCTTTCTCAATATAGGACAGAGTAACTAAACCTACATTTATTTTGTATATTTCTGGTATATGGAGAAAATGTATATCATTATATAGCTTAATAATGATAACATCCATGGCGACTAGAATGGAAAGACACTCATGGTAGGTGTAACAACCCAGCCAATTACCAGCATGATTGTAGTTTAGCTGTCTTTAAGGGCATTGCATCATTTGGAACTATTATGTCATATGTAGTGAGGTACAGTTAGTGAGAAAACTTTGATGATTTTCCTACTACATAAGAATTCCCTATGCTGAATTCTAGGAGCTCTGCTTGTAGCATAGTGCCTAAGGCACTTGACTGCTAACCAGAAGGCTGGCAGTTCAAGCCCACCAGCTACTCCTCGGAAAGACGGTTGGGCAATCTACTTTTGTAATGATACCACCTCGGGAACTCAATGAGGGGTCGCTATGAATTGGGTCCAACTCGACAGCACATAACAACAACAGCGTGCTGATAGATGAGAAAATGAGAATGGAATTATTGAGGTAAATTATTTTACCAGTTGAGGTAGGCTAAGTCATTTGGTAGTAACACCCTAAAAACTCTATGTGACTTTTTTCCAAATGCTTATTTCTTACTTCTAATGCACGTCATGGCAACTCCATGATATTATTACTCTGGGACCCAGAGTGACATAGAAGCTACAGTCTTGAGCACTGTTGGTCTCTGTGTCTGAAGGAAAACAATCCAGAGAGTAGTAAGTTTTCCACTACTAAGTAGCATAATGTTCATCTGTTTACATTTTAATGAACAGATTTGGGTGCTTACACTGACACCCAAATCTTTATGGACTTTGGCATGTCTCTATCCCAATTTACATCTGGTAGTTCTAAAAACTATTATAATTTTCATCTTGATATTAAGAAATTATATTCTTTATGATCTTGCTTGAAAGTGGTAAAGTTATTGGAAGAAAGGGGCTTTTTTTTTTTTTTACTTCTGATTAATTTTTCTGAAGATAATTTATTATTATTTTTTTTCCCCTTAGGAAAGGCCATTAGCAAGAGACAGATTTTGGTAAACTGACTCTGCATTAACTTAAACCACTCCATGGATGAAATACACAACCGTGCTTATTAGTATTACTTCTCTGTGAAATGCACTATAGCTATATGGTTATATATGCATAGAAAAGGGCATTAACCTCACCAAATTGTCATATCTACATTCTCTAGTCTTGTAAAATCAGGGAGTACAGATGTAACATGGGATCAAGATATTGATTAGAGTCAAAGTAAACAAGATTTATACTTGTATGCAAATGAACATACAATTTTATATTTAAAACATATTGTTCATAGACTGACAAGTCATTCACACTTACCTTTCCAAAATTTTATGAAAAATGATTAAAAAAAATAATATGTTAAACCTCCTACTTTTATCTTGAAATTCTGATATAAATGTTGCTAAGGAAATGATATTTCACTCAAATACTCTCTTCTAATTTTACCGTATAATATATTGAAATGTTGTTTGTGAGAAGAAGCATAAATAATTCAGTCTGGGGATACATTTATAATGCATAATTATATTTAAATAAGCATACCTATCTTCAGTTATAGGAGTGCAGTGGTGAAGAGCAGCTTAAGTAATGCAAACTCACACAGCATTATCATGATTCTTACCCTAGCTGTTAGTGAATGTCAGATTAATAGCATTCTTACACTTTCTCTAACTTTTATTCTGTATTAATGGTTTTACATGTAAACTATCAATAAATCAAGACATAAAATTGTGCATCTATAGAATTATTTATAATATGAACAATGTTTTAATATGTAGACGTAGAAAAATAGATCATTAGAAATAGAAAGAAGTGTATAAAATGCTATGTTTTGATTGATATATAATTATATATCTATATGTATAATATATATAATTAATATGTATATTATAATTTTCTTATATCAAAGTTATTTCTTATGGAAATGTAAAGGTTTTATGTTTTGGCAGTATTAAGGTATAGTTATATAATATTTATATAATGCAAGACCTCTAGGCATGTGCGTGGAGGCTCAGATCTTCTGGGGAGGCTATATTTTAAGGCTGGGTCCCCAAGCAGGTAAGAACAAGTGGGAAAGTGAGCATAGTAGTTGGGATAAATAAGGAAGATGAACTTGTCTGTCAGATTGTCATCCTGTGGTGGCTTGCTTGTTACTGTGAGGCTAAAGGCTATGCTACTGGTGTTGCAAATTGCCAGCAATGTAACCCGTGGTGGACTGGTTTCAGCGGAGCTTCCAGACAAAGACAGACTCAGAAGAAGGAAGACGCATTCACTTCTCAAAGAATCGGTCAATGAAATCCTTATGAAGAGCAGTGAGACATGAGTCTGATATACTACTGGAAAATTTTATGAATAGATCTGAAACATTGTCCAATATAATGTCAGAAGATGAGATTATCAGGTTGGAAAACACTCAAAATATGACCAGGGAAGAGATAATTCTTCAGAGCAGAGATGACCTTAATGATATGAATGGAGTAAAGCTTTAGGGTCCTCCATAGGCTGATATGCCATGACTCAAAATGAGTAGAAACAGCTGCAAACATCCATTGATAATCAGAACATGGAATGTATGAAGTACAATCTATATGCTGAATCTAGGAAAACTGGAAATTGTCAAAAATGAAATAGAACGCATTAAGACTGATATCCTTGGCATCAGTGA